AATGTTTTTTGTTTTGTTTTGGTATGTTTTTTGTTTTTTGGGTTTTTTTCGAGATGGAATTTCGCTCTTGTTACCCAGGTTGGAGTGCAATGGCATGATCTCGGCTCACCACAACCTCCGCCTCCTGGGTTCAAGCAATTCTCCTGCCTCAGCCTCCCGAGTAGCTGGGACTACAGGCACGTGCCACCATGCCCAGCTAATTTTTTTGTATTTTTAGTAGAGACGGGGTTTCACCTTGTTGACCAGGATGGTCTTGATCTCTTGACCTTGTGATCCATCCACCTCGGCCTCCCAAAGTGCTGGGATTATAGGCGGCCATCGCGCCCAGCCCTCTTGCAGTGTTATAATTCATGACCTGGGTGGTTTATAAAGAAAGAAGTTTAATCAGATCATGGTTCTGTGGGCTCTGCAGGCTTCTGCTTCTGGGGAGGCCTCAGGAAACTTAATCATGGTGGAAGTGGAAGCAGGCACAGTCTTCACATGGCTGGCAGGGGAGAGAGAGCGAGAGAAAGGGGAAGTGCTACATACTTTTAAACAACTAGATCTCATGGAAACTGTCAGGCGATGGCACTTGGGGGATGGTTCACAGCCATTAGAAACCATCCCCATGATCCAATAACCTCCCTCCAGGGCCCCCCTCTAACACTTAGGATTATAATTCAACACGAGATTTGGGTGGGGACACAGAGCCAAACCATATCACTCTTTAAAGTCATATGACTGCTATGTTACAGCGTAATTACAGGAATGTCTCAGCAGCTTAACAGGTTCCAGAGATAAGGGTACAGCATGTTTGGAGACCATTTAGAAATTCCACCTATCACAGTTCAACTTCTGTTCCCCAGCCATTTATATTCCTCAGAGATGTAAAATACATTCATCTTCTCACCTAAGGTTTCCAAGTTTCGTGTCATGAATGGGTTAGTTCAAAGTGAGAAATGTCACGTAGCTCTAATCTTATCAAAAGTTTAAAATCTCATTTAAATCATCTACACCAAGTGCAAATGAGGCTTCTGAAGGTGTCCATTAAGGTCAAATTCTTTTTTGTTTTTGTTTTTGAGAGTGAATCTCGGTCTGTCCCTCATGCTGGAGTGCAGTTGTGTGATCTTGTCTTCCTGCAACTTCTGCCTCCTGGGTTCCAGCGATTCTCCTGCCTCAGCCTCTTGAGTAGCTGAGATTACAGGCATGCACCACTGGATTCAGCTAATTGTTTTGTATTTTTAGTAGAGACAGGGGTTTGCCCTGTTGGCCAGGCTAGTCTGAAACTCCTGACCTCAAGGGATCCATCCCCCTCAGCCTCCCAAAGTGCTGGGATTACAGACATAAGCCACCATGCCCAGCCAAAGTACAGATCCTTGATATAATTCACTTGCCTCTGTTGACCTGTGAAACTGAACAAACAGCTTGTCTGTCCTCAGTGTGCAATGGTGGGACAGTTACAGAATAATGATGCTAGTGATTCTTTTTCAAAAAAAGGGAAAGTGGAGGGAACAAAGTCACTGATCCAAAACCATTTTGAAATGGGGCTGAGCAAAGTCCAGCAGGAATGTCTTGATTAGGCTCCTCAGCCTGGAACTAACCCTCTGTGACAGGGGGCTTTGCCTCTGGGCTCTGCATTTTTTTTCTATCATTATTGAACACATTTTATTTTCCTTCTTCGCCCACTCTTTTGGTTCTTCCCCTTTCCCCTCATGGTAGCATGCTCCACTTAATCCTTGTTGCATCATACCCAGCAGAATTGGTCAGGTATTGCCATCTCCAGGAGGGCCTGTCCTTGTGAGCCCGTGCTCCTCTTTCCTGTCCTGACCTCTCGCAGTCATGATTGCTTTCAGCTGCCCTGGCTGGCTTAGGAGAAAACCTAAGACTATGGAGTCCCAGAACCCATCTCTGCCCTCTCTATCTCTAAGAGAGGAAGAAAATAACAGGGATCTTCTTGGAGAAATGACCCACGTGAGGGCCTGGACTCTCCAGCAGTTAACAGCAGAGGAAACTCTCTGAGGAAGAATGGAGGAGCTGAGAGCCCAGGCCGGGAAAGCAGGGTTGTGTGAAACACTCTTTAATTCTATGTGCTCCCTGCTTCAATCTAGCAGCTAGTGAGTGACAGCTGACCGAGTATAAATGCCAGGACTATAGAACTGTGATAAAGGGTTTGTCCAAGGAAAGGGGCTTTTACAGTTATTGTTTTCACAGAGGAAATTGCTATTTTTAATCTAAAGTTTTCTGAAAGGCAGCAGTGAGCTTCTGGAGGGTGAGTTACCTGCTCTGCACAGGGAGGCTGAGACCAAGGCTTGTGTGTGGGATCTGCTGCCACCAAGAGGTGAGGGTGCCTGGGAGAGTCTTAGTGTTTCTGGGCTTCAGGTTCCTTATCAGTAAGGTAGGGGCTTATTGTACCTCTCTGAGGTCCCTTCCTGCTCTGTTTTCTCTGAGTCTCCAAGGAATTGAGATGGTTTTCAGTGCTGACTGGGACCCTCAGCTGAGGCCTGTCTCCTGGAGGAGCCTGAGCTCCCAGAGTTGAGGAAAGAAAGAAAGTCAGCAGGTTTAGGGGATGAGAATAATCCACAAAGGACAAGCCATTGATAGATGAAAACCAAAGAAGGGGAGAATAAGGACAAACTGGGACAGAAGCCTCAGGGGATATGGGCAATGTCTATGATCACTTAAATTCTCAGGGAGCAGCATGAACTGAGCAGTGGGGACGGAGAGAGAAACTTACTCCACAGGAATCTCCTGCCTGTGGCCAGGGAGAGCCATAGGGTAGATCAGAGCTGGTTTATAGTGAGGGGCAGCTTCAACTCCAGGAGGGGGAGGATGCGACCGTGAGCCCCCCTCCCTCAGACCCAGGAGCCTTGACCTCGGGGCTGCCGTAGCAGTGGATGCTCTTCAGGTTACTGTGGGTTAGAGGGAATAACCGTGCTTAGAGAAGGGTTGGAAGTGTTCATTCTTACACCGAACAGCTCTGCCCTAGGTCAGGTGCCAGAGTAAGTGTCCCTCAATTGTATGTGAAGCAGTGATACTTTACTATTCTTCTGCACCTTCAGTTGAGGGAAGCTTCTCATAAATTTTTATTGAGTATTTAATTTTTTTTATACTGTGCTAAGCACTTGGGATTCAGATATTTAATATCTCCAAAGAAAAGCCAATGAGTGGAAGAACACAAACAGATCATTTCAACAAGATACGGTAGTTCTACCCAACTGGGGTGTTGTGGCAGCCCGGAGGCTGGGAGGGTATTTCAAAGGACATTGCTCCTAATGACAGGGGGAAGCATAAGAGAACATTTTCAGATTGGCCAGGCCTCGTGGCTGATGCCTATAATCCCAGCACTTTGGGAGACCGAGGCGGGTGGATCACAAGATCAAGAGATCGAGACTATCCTGGTCAACATGGCGAAACCCCATTTCTACTGAAAATACAAAAACATTACTTGGGCGTGGTGGTTCATGCCTGTAGTCCCAGCTACTTGGGAGGCTGAGGCAGGAGAATGGCTTGAACCCGGGATGCGGAGGTTGCAGTGAGCTGAGATCACACCATTGCACTCAAGCCTGGGTAACTAGAGCAAAACTCTGCCTCAAAAAAAGAAAAATTTCAGAACAGGCTAGCCTTCCTTTAAGCTCCCACAGGAGAGGATCCTGGGGCAGGGATGGTGTAGGGCAGGCACCTCTCTAGAGAAGGGGATTTGCAGCATTCTGAGAGAAAGAGCATCCTTACAAGACACTGGGGACAGAAATGTAGGTGAAAGAGTTGGAGGTTTGTAATCAATTTTATTCAGTCATGAACACTGCTGAGAGACCCCTCTGTGCTGGGCCCTTAGCTAAGAACCATGACCACAGAGGTGAGTAAAATAGGATCCCAGCTTTCACACAATTCTCAGTCTAGTGACTGGTGATTGATGAGAAGTGTAGTCATGGTGGGTTCATTGGAACCAGTGGCCGATGCTGCATGAGATGACCTCAGTGTATGGCTTAAGCCAGTGATTCTGGACTTCAGCCATATTTCAGCATATGGAGGTACAGTGCACCAATACCTCTGCTCCATGTGGAGTCAAAGCAGTTAACACAGCCAAGGTTTTCAGAAGACACTGATGATATCAGTAGCTATTGACTGTTTCCAGCTGGGCAAACAAAAAAGTAAATTTAATAAGTCTTCTAAATTTGTCCTTGCCATGATGATAAAAAACTTGATCTTGATAATGAATGATATTCTGGCAAATTACTTATAACTTACCATAATGAGAAATAACTTTATGCTGAGTACAGCAGACACACAAGCCCTTGAGGACACATGCCTGAGGATTCCGATGAGGATATAATATCCAAATATGTACATGTTTGGACCTACAATCCAGCTTTGAAACAGTGGAAGACCTAGTTTCAAATTCAAGGTTGCTTTGAGTAGAAATTCACTTTACCTCTCTATGCATGGTAATTGGGCCAGTCTTCCCTGAGCTGCCCCTTACAAGAAAAGCAATCATGCTGGTAAGTTGTCAGACTTCAGCAGACATGGGTAAGGAAGTCTTACAAATCTATTTGAGCCACCTAGCGAGAAATGAGAAATTTAGCAAGTTCATTCACATTCAGGACAGTTGCGTACACTAGATCAGAGGTCCTGGTACATGAAGAACAGACCCCTAACAAGGGCAAGTGTTCCTTCCTGTCCTAGGACATCACTTCAGGGAAGTGGGAACACAGCTGCCTGCTTTACAGTATGGGTTAGTTTTGTGCCTGGAATGTGTCTGACGTCCTGCTACCTGTACCCATTTCAGGGAGCCTTGGGAGGAGCCTGAATCACTGATGGAATTGGACAGTGCATGGAGATGGTTGAGCAGGATGAGGGTAAGTGCAGGGGCATGGCCAGGTCATACTGGGAGACAATGAGCAGCACTGATGGGGACAGACACAGATAAAGTCAACAGTTTGTGCTTCAGCATCAAAAACTCAAACCAATAATGAATTTGCTTTTATAAGTAATAAGTATTTTTTTATTTACATGAGAATTTAATCTCAAAACAGAAATCATAAAAATGTGCATAAAACCTAAACTATAGCTCATATTTATTCCTTCTAAATGGAGCTATCAGTAAAATCTACTTCATAAAACATATATTGTGGTTATAAAAAGGCAAAACTTCACCAGGTACGGTGGCTCACACCTGCATTCCCAGCACTTTCGGAGGCCGAGACGGGTGGATCACGATGTCAGGATATCAAGACCATCTTGGCCAACATGCTGAAACCCTGTCTCTGCTAAAAACACAAAACTTAGATGGGCGTGGTAGCATGTGCCTGTAGTCCCAGCTACTTGGGAGACTGAGGCAGGAGAATCACTTGAACCCAGGAGGCAGAGGTTGCAGTGAACCGAGATTGTACCACTGCATTTCAGCCTGGAGACAGAGCAAGACTCTGTCTCAAAAAAAGAAAAAAAGCAAAATTCTTAGTGAAAATCATAGGTGTTCCTTAGAAGAGAGAATTAAATATAGTCAAGGGAAGACCAAGTCTCGTACTTCTCTTGTGTATTCCAAAGTTTCAGGGAAATTCCAGGTAACAGAGGTTATTTCCCATGCTGTTAAAGCAAGGTTGCAGACACTAATGAATTCTGGGCTCAATACTCTAGGAGGGCACACCTCTGTCCTGGAAAATGAGACAGGATTGAATACTTTTCCTGTGACTCATTCTGGTTATTCATCCAGGATCACAGACACTAAACAATGGAAATATGGCCAAATTCATGATTTGCTAACCCTCTTCTCAGGTTTCTTACCTGACTCTTAGGATAACAGCATTACCTTGAAGAATATGATGAAGATACGCTGTCCAAGTATGTGCACAGTTTTGAGCAAAATGCCTGATACAAATTGGTCAACAAACAATTACTGGATGATGATATGAATATTTACTGAATGACATGGATCCTATGAATAACTGTGGAATAATTGTTGTGATTGCTTTTATTAGCAGTGCTCAAAACTCATCTCTGTGTGACCTCAAGTCAGCCACATAACTCTGTGAACCTGCAGTTTCATCAGTTTTAAAATGAAGGAACCTGGCAGATTCTCATTCTACCACAGAATGTCAGGCCTCCCAGACACCAGAACATACCTTTACATAAAGCCTTTGATATATTTCCACGCAGTATCTCTACAGTGTAGTTGGAGGATGGTGGGAGCTGCAGAGAGGCACGCTTTCCAATGGGATTGAGGCAGTTCTTCTTCCTTGACTTCCGCATGAATGCTGGGCAGCCCAGGGTCACACTTATTGCACCCTCAACTCAGGCAAGCCCAGCAGCCAAACATAGGAGACTTGGGCTACAGAACAGTCTCCCAAATCCCAGGCTCAGAAACTCTACGTGGAGATGACGGCTGAGAAAGTGAGGGGGTGGTTCAGGGGATCACTCTTCCCTACTCGTTCCTCTCATCTCAAATTCACCTTCCATTGCACAGCAACACTGAGGACCACCAACCACCCCTGACCATCACCTTGATCTTGTCGTGTTTGGTTCGTGGGATGCACCCACACATTAATGGTGTTAGACCAACTCAGAGAAATACCTATCAAACATGTTCCATAAGAACCGCTCATGGCCCTGTTATTTTCAATATATGGAAAAAGTGAAATGAAAACAACAAAATCATATCAGGTTTCCAAGACTTCCCAAGATAGATGGTCACACATGCTTTCAGGAGATCTCTATAGAAATGGTTTCAATGATGCGACACCTTGAAAAGAGCTCTTCTGGGACTAGAATGACATTTATAAGTGATAAGTATGAGATGTAGTATTCAGTCACATTAAAAAACAAATCATCCCACATAGAGGAAGCTTTGGACATAGGAACATCACACTGGTCTTAATTGTAATGAAAAGCCTCTTCTGCCACAAACATCAGTGTACTGGTACCTGCCAGTAAAAAAAACTAAATCAGCATAACCATGGGATGCAGCAAGAAGAATACTGAGCCAGGAAAGAAAACATTTTTAGGACTCAGAGAATATCATGGCAGTATAATAGATTGACATCTTAAACTTGTGGAAAAGCCTTAAATTCTGTTTTAACATGTGAGAAGGACTCACGTTTAACATGACTGACTTCATGACTAGCATTAAGAAAGTATCACGTGTTGGGAAACTGTTTCTGCCTTGATGATTTTATACACATAAGAGATGAAAAATGAGGCACATGAATGTATTGGGAATGAGATGGCACTGTGGCATTGTCACAAAGGTACACAAATACTGAGAGTGACTTATAGAGTAATGGTCCCCATCTGTTGTGACCTCAGGTGAGACCAGGAGGCCTGTGTTTTAGCAAACCCTGGGCAGTTGGAATGAAGGGCTCCTAAGATTCCATGACACGCCCAGCTTTTAATTCTGTTATTGCAACAGCACATGGTTACCTGGGACTCTTGTCAGAGTCTGAGCTACAGGCAGCTCCTTTAGTTCTCAGCTCAAGCATTTTCAACCTTGTTTTTGCGGTTAAGGACCTTAGCTAAAGTGCTGTGAGGAGGGATCGAGTTTTTCTCAACAGTAAGTTAAGAATTTGAGTTTCTGACATCCCCCAGTCCTGATGAAACCTATTTGATTTCCGGTTTTTAAGCCATCATGTATTTGGGTTTCTTCTTTCAGTCCCTGGCCCTACCTGTGGTGCCCCAAACGTCAGCATGATAGCATCTGGCAGGACGTGTTCCAGGAAGACCACAGAGGCAAACTTTCCAGATACCATCGAGAATTCCTACTCCCAGCAGGAAGAGACCAAACCAAATATTGGAGCCAGCAAAAATAGACTTCTTCTGAGTCAGGTGGCCTACTTCCTGAACTACCAGCTGAAGACCTACAGTAAGTTCTATAGGTTGACCACCATGAAGGTGATGAAGGATGTCCTGTCTTGTCTCAAGAGACTAACCGTTCTCTTAATCAAAATTAATTTCATCCTTCCCATACTTGTGGAAACTAGCAATGGGTATTTTAACATTTACTTAAAGATGGAAGACAGTGGCAAAAGTATTTAGCAACTTTTCCACATCTACAGTAAGGTGGGTGCGGGACTGGGGTTAAAATCCCAGCGATTAGGCCGGGCGCAGTGGCTCAAGTCTGTAATCCCAGCACTTTGGGAGGCCGAGGCGGGTGGATCACGAGGTCAAGAGATCGAGACCATCCTGGTCAATTTGGTGAAACCCCGTCTCTACTAAAAATGCAAAAAATTAGCTGGGCATGGTGGCGCGTGCCTGTAATCCCAGCTACTCAGGAGGCTGAGGCAGGAGAATTGCCTGAACCCAGGAGGTGGAGGTTGCAGTGAGCCGAGATCGCGCCATTGCACTCCAGCCTGGGTAACAAGATCGAAACTCCGTCTCAAAAAGAAAAAAAGAATCCCAGCGATTAATTTCTGACACAGGCACAGAACCACCTGTTTTTCTCAGCAAAAGGCTAAATCATGTTTACAGGAATCCTCTCTGTACCATATAAGATGCTACATACAAGCAGCATCTAGTCTGTTGGTCTAAATGTCTGAGGCTACTGAACTTCCATTTGGTTCCGGTTTCTGCTGTGGCCCAGTAGGCAAAGCTGTATTCTGGGAACACTGGGAGAAACACAGTGATAGCGCACAGTACCCACTATGAGAGGCTGCAACAGGACCCTGCTCTTAATAGAACCTGTGGTATCTATAAGTGGCACCATCAAGGGCAGGGAGTACCCTGGTACTGGTGCCTCAGCCTCCCAATCAGTTTTTATCTCCGATGGGCACCAGCACACCTGGAAAATTTTTGTATATTTAGTAGAGGCAGGGTTGCACCATGTTGGCCAGGCTGGTCTTGAACTCCTGAAATCAAGTGATCTGCCTGCTTGAGCCTCCTAAAGTGCTGGGATTCCAGGCGTGAGCCACCATGCCTGCTCCACGGATTTTTTCAGTAGAGATTGTTAGAATTCATCACTTGGTCCAGTCTCCTATATAAATTTCTCTAACAATTCATTGGCAATGATATATGATCAGATAAATCAGTATTGCAACAATGGTTCTGGAAAGTATTTAGGGCAATTTTTGAAGATTTTGGGGACAAAGGTTTAATTTTTTGCACTGACTTAGGTCAGATGATATGACTTAAGATCTACCAGATGAAGGAGATTTTGTCCCATGGGTCTGAAAAGCAGGCTGATCTACTTCTAGGGTGACTTAACCTAGGAACCAGTAGAACATTCCTGTCAGAATATCACATTCTTACCCTGAGAATATTTTACATCTTTGCGCTATGACCGAACACTGTTTTGGTGTTGTGTGAAGTGTGATTTCCTTAATGTGACCTGCTCTTCTGAATTTGCTTACAGGAGATCAAAAAGATCACGATGAAGAACAGAAATGCAGAGACAGCAAAAATAAACTTCTTATGAGTCAAGTGGCCTACTACCTGGGCTGCCGGCTGAAGACGGAAGGTAAGTTCTCAAGGTTCACTGTCTCGAAAGTGATAACAGTGTCCTCCCTTGTCTCTGAGAAACGATGCACTCTCTTCAGAGTTAATTTTACCCTACCCATACTTCTAGGAATATAGCAATGGGTATTTTAACATTTTGTTAAAATATGTTAACAAAATACTGGAAGACAGAGGCCAAAGAATTTAGCAACATTTCCACATCTGCAGTAAGGCGGGTGTGGGACTAGTGTTAATATCCCAGCAATCGATTCCTGATACAGGCACAGAACCACCTGTATTTCTCAGCAAGAGGCTAAATCATGTTTAAAGGACTCCTTCTAACATGGAAGATCCTGCAGAACCCATAAGCAAGATAAAGGTAGAAGTGTTTATTTCCTGGTTTCAAGGTGACTGAGTAGTTAAGACAAGTTGACTTTAAAGAGAATGAGAGATGAGGTAAGAAGAGTAAAAGCAGGGAAAGAACATCTTCAAATCAATAGGCAAGGCTGTCAGTGACATCCCTCAGTCCCGATTAAAGCAATTTGATGTCACCAGTTTCTAACCCATCATGTGTTTGGGTTTCTTCTCCCCAGTCCCTGGCTATCTGTGTTCTGCCCCAAATGTCAGCACGGTGGCATCAGGCAAGCCTCCTTCCAGAGAAAACACAGAAGTAAACATTCCAGAAGACATTGAGAAATCCTGCTCCCAGCAGGAAGAAAACAAAGCAAATTTCAGAGCCAGCAAAAATAGACTTCTTCTGAGTCAGGTGGCCTACTTCCTGAACTACCAGCTGAAGACCTACAGTAAGTTCATAGGTTCACCACCACGACGAAAGTGATGAATGATGTCCTGTGTTGTCTAGAGAAACTAACCGGTTTCTTCATCAAAATTAATTTCATCCTTCCCATACTTGCAGAAAATAGAAATGGGTATTTTAACATTTTGTTAAAGATGGAAGACAGAGGCCAAAGTATTTAGCAACATTTCCACCTCTGCAGTAAGGTGGGTGTGGGACTGGGGTTACAATCCCTGCTATTGATCTCTGACACAGGCACAGAACCACCTGTTTTTCTCAGCAAGTGGCTAAATCCAGGTTCACAGGAATCCTCTCTGTACCATATAAGATCCTGCAGACAAGTAGCATCTAGTCTGTTGGTCTAAATGTCTGAGGCTACTGAACTTCCATTCAGTTCTGGTTTCTGCTGAGGCCCAGTAGGCAAAGCTGTGTTCTGGGGACACTGGGGGAAACACGGTGATGGCACACAGTACCAGCTGTTGGGAACTTAGGGGGGACCCTGCTCCTAATAAAACCTGTGTTATCTGTAAGTGGGTCCATCAAGAGCAGGGAATACCCTGGTACTGGTGCTGCACCCTCCCAATCAGCTGGGATCCCCGGTGGGAACCAGCACACTTGACTAACTTTTGTATTTTCAGTAGAGGCAGGGTTTCACCTTGTTGGCCAGGCTGGTCTTGAACTCCTGAGGTCAAGGGATCCACCCTCCTGGGCCTCCTAAATTGCTGGGATTGCAGGCGTGAGCCACCATGGTGGCTCCACAGATTCTTTTTTCAGTAAGGGTTGTTAGAATTCATCTCTCGGTCCAGTCTCCTGTATAAATTTCTCTAACCATTCATTGACCATGATATATGATGAGATAAATCAGTATTACAGCAATGCTTCTGGAAAGTAGTTAGGGCAATTTTTGTAAGATTTTTGGGGAAAAAGTTTTAATTTTTTGCCTGATTAAGTTCTACCGGATGAGGGAGATTTTATCCCATGGATCTGAAAAGCAGGCTCATCTACTTCTAGGGCAACTTAGTCTAGGGCCCGTTAGACATTCCTGTCAGAATACCACATTCTTACATTGAGAATATTTTACATCCTTGTGCTGTGAGTGGACACTGATTTGGTCTTGTGTGAAGAGTGATTTGCTTAATGTGACCTGCTCTTCTGAATTTGTTTACAGGAGATCGAAAAGATCACGATGAAGAACAGAAATGCAGAGACAGCAAAAATAAACTTCTTATGAGTCAAGTGGCCTACTACCTGGGCTGCCGGCTGAAGACGGAAGGTAAGTTCTCTAGGTTCACCATCATGAAAGTGATGAACAGTGTCCTGTTTTGTCTCTAAGAAACGATACACTGTCTTCTTGAAAGTTCATTTCATCATGCCCATATTTCCAGGAATGTAGCAATGGGTATTTTAACATTTTGTTAATGATGGAAGACAGAGGCCAAAGTATTTAGCAACTTTTCCACGTCTACAGTAAGGCGGGTGTGGGACTAGTATTAATATCCCAGCTATTGATTCCCGACACAGGGACAGAACCACCTGTTTTTCTCAGCAAGAAGCCAAATCATGTTTACAGGAATCCTCTCTACCATATAAGATCCTGGAAAACTTATAAGCAAGATAAAGGTAGAAGTGTTTATTTTATAGTTTCAAGGTGACTGACTAGCTAAGACAAGTTGAATTTAAGGAGACCAAGAGTGGAGATGAGAAGAGTAAAAGCGGGAAAACAACATCTTCCAAATCAATAGGCAGTGCTGTCAGAGACATCCCTCAGTTCTGATTAAACCAATTTGATGTCACCAGTTTCTAATGCATCGTGTGTTTGGGTTTCTTCTCCCCAGTCCCTGGCTATCTGTGTTCTGCCCCAAACATCAGCACGGTGACATCAGGCAAGCCTCCTTCCAGAGAAAACACAGAGGTGAACGTTGCAGAAGGCATTGAGATATCCTGCTCCCAACAGGAAGAAAACAAACCGACTTTCAGAGCCAGCAAAAATAGACTTCTTCTGAGTCAGGTGGCCTACTTCCTGAACTACCAGCTGAAGACCTACAGTAAGTTCTATAGGTTCACCACCACGAAAGTGATGAATAATGTCCTGTCTTTTTTTGAGAACCTAACCACTTTCTTGATCAAAATTAGTTTCATCTTCTTCATACTTGCAGAAAATAGAAATGAGTATTTTACCATTTTGTTAAAGATGTAAGGCAGAGGCCAAAGTATTTAGCAACTTTTCCATGTCTGCAATAAGGTGGGTGTGGGACTGGGATTAAAATCCCAGCTATTGGCGGGGCACGGTGGCTCACGTGTATAATCCCAGCACTTTGGGAGGCCAAGGCGGGTGGTTCACGAGGTCAAGAAATCGAGACCATCCTGGTCAACAAGGTGAAACATCGTCTCTACTTAAAATACTTAGCCGGGTATGGTGGCATGCGCCTGTAGTCCCAGCTACTTGGGAGGCTGAGGCAGGAGAATTGCTTGAACCCATGAGACGGAGGTTGCGGTGAGCCGAGTTCGCGCCATTGCACTCCAGCCTGGGTAACAAGAGCGAAACTCCGTCTTAAAAAAAAAAAAAAATCCCAGCTATTGATTTCTGACACAGGCACAGAACCACCTGTTTTTCTCAGCAAAGAGTGAAATCATGTTTACAGGAATCCTCTCTACTGTATAAGATTCTGCAGACCAGTAGCATCTAGTCTGTTGGTCTAAATGTCTGAGGCTAGTGAACTTCTACTTGGTTCTGGTTTCTGCTGAGCCCCAGTAGGCAAAGGTGTGTTCTGGGGCACCAGGGGAACGCAGTGATAGCACATGGTACCTCCTGTGAAGAGCTTGAAGGGGACTCTGCTCCTAATAGAACCTGTGGTATCTGTAAGTGGCACCATCAAGAACAGGGAGTACACTGGTATTGGTGCCTCAGCCTCCGAATTAGCTGGGAACCCTGGTGGGCACCAAAGCACCTGGCTAATTTTTGTGTTTTTAGCAGAGGCGGTGTTTCACCATGTTGGCCAGGCTGGTCTTCAACTCCTGAGGTCAAGTGATCTGCTGGTCTGGGCCTCCTAAAATGCTGGAATTCCAGGCAGGAGACACCGGGCTGCCTCCACAGATTATTTTTAAGTAAAGGTTGTTAGAATTCATCCCTTGGTCCTGTCTCCTATTATAAATTTCCCTAAACATCCATTGAGCATGATATGTGATGATATAAATCAGTATTGCAGCAATGCTTCTGGAAAGTGGTTAGGGCAATTTTTGAAGATTTTGGGAAATTAAAAATTAAAAGTTTTAATTATTTGCACTGACTTAGGTCAGAGGATATGTGATTAAGATCTACCAGATGAGGGAGATTTTGTCCCATGGATCTGAAAAGCAGGCTTATCTACTTCTCAGGTGATTTAACCTAGGGCCTGTAAGAACATTTTCATCAGAATATCACATTGTTACACTGAGAATATTTTACATCCTTGTGCTATGAGTGGACACTGATTTGGTCTTGTGTGAAGTGTGATTTGCTTAATGTGACCTGCTCTTCTGAATTTGTTTACAGGAGATCGAAAAGATCACAATGAAGAACAGAAATGCAGAGACAGCAAAAATAAACTTCTTATGAGTCAAGTGGCCTACTACCTGGGCTGCCGGCTGAAGACGGAAGGTAAGTTCTCTGGGTTCACTGTCTCGAAAGTGATGAACAATGCCCTGTCTTGTCTATGAGAAATGATACATTCACTTCTTCAAAGTTAATTTCATCCTTCCCATACTTCTGGAAAATAGCAATGAGTATTTTAACATTTTGTTAAAGATGGAAGACAGAGGCCAAAGCATTTAGCAACTTTTCCACATCTATAGTAAGGCGGGTGTGGGACTAGGGTTAATATCCCAGCTATTGATTCCCAACACAGGCACAGAACCACCTGTTTTTCTCAGCAAGAGGGTAAATCATGTTTACAGGAATCCTCTCTAGCATATTAGATCCTGCAAAACGTAGAAGCAGGATAAAGGTAGAAGTGTTTATGTCCTGGCTTCAAGGTGACTGAGTAGCTAAGACAAATTGACTTTAAGGAGATCAAGAGTGGACATGAGAAGAGTAAAAGCGGGGAAACAACGTCTTCAAATCAATAGGCAGTGCTGTCAGTGCCATCCCTCAGTCCTGATTAAAGCAATTTGATGTCACCAGTTTCTAATGCATCGTGTGTTTGGGTTTCTTCTCCCCAGTCCCTGGCTATCTGTGTTCTGCCCCAAACGTCATCACGGTGGCATCAGGCAAGCCTCCTTCCAGAGAAAACACAGAGGTGAACGTTGCAGAAGGCATTGAGATATCCTGCTCCCAACAGGAAGAAAACAAACCGACTTTCAGAGCCAGCAAAAATAGACTTCTTCTGAGTCAGGTGGCCTACTTCCTGAACTACCAGCTGAAGACCTACAGTAAGTTCTATAGGTTCACCATCACGAAAGTGATGAATAATGTCCTGTCTTTTTTTGAGAACCTAACCACTTTCTTGATCAAAATTAGTTTCATCTTCTTCATACTTGCAGAAAATAGAAATGAGTATTTTACCATTTTGTTAAAGATGAAAGTCAGAGGCCAAAGTATCTAGCAACTTTTCCACGTCTACAGTAACATGGGTGTGGGACTGGGGTTACAATCCCTGCTATTGATCTCTGACACAGGCACAGAACCACCTGTTTTTTTCAGCAAATGGCTAAATCATGTTTACAGGAATCCTCCCTGTACCATGTAAGATCCTGCAGACACGTAGCATCTAGTCTTTTGGTCTACGTGTCTGAGGCTACTGAACTTCGATTTGGTTCCAGTTTCTGCTGAGGCCCAATAGGCAAAGGTGTGTTCTGGGAACACTGGGGGAAACACAGTGATAGCACACAGTACCTCCTGTGAGGAGCTCGAGGAGGACCCTGCTCCTAATAGAACCTGTGGTATCTGTAAGTGGCACCCACCATCAAGAGCAGGGAGTACCCTGCTACTGGTGCCTCAACCTCTCCATTAGCTGGGATCCCTGGTGGGCACCAAAGCACCCGGCTTATTTTTGTACTTTTAGTAGAGGCGGGGTTTCACCATGTTGGCCAGGCTGGTCTTGAACTCTTGAGGTCAAGTGATCTGCCTTTCTGGGCCTCCTAAAAGGCTGGAATTCCAGGCATGAGACACCGGGCTGGCTCCACAGATTCTTTTTTAAGTAAAGGTTGTTAGAATTCATGCCTTGGTCCAGTGTCCTATATAAATTTTTCTAAGTATTCATTGACCATGATATATGCTGAGATAAATCGGTATTGCCGCAATGCTTCTGGAAAGCAGTTATTTCAATTTTTGAAGACATTGGGGAAAAACAGTTTTAATTATTTGCACTGACTTAGGTCAGGATATGTGATAAAGATCGATGAGATCAGGGAAAGCAGGGAAATTTTGTTTCACGGATCTGAAAAGCAGGCTCATTTACTTCTGAGGCGACTTAATCTAGGGACCAGTAGAACATTCCTGTCAGAATATTACATTCTTACACTGAGAATATTTTACGTTTTTGTGCTGTGACTGAACACTGATTTGTTTTTTTTTTTTTTTTTGAGACAGAGTTGCGCTCTTGTTACCCAGGCTCGAGTGCAATGGTGCGATCTCGGCTCACCGCAACCTCCGCCTCCTGGGTTCAGGCAATTTTCCTGCCTCAGCCTCCTGAGTAGCTGGGATTACAGGCACGTGCCACCATGCCCAGCTAATTTTTTGTATTTTTAGTAGAGACGGGATTTCACCATGTTGACCAAGATGGTCTCGATCTCTTGACCTCGTGATCCACCCGCCTCAGTCTCCTAAAGTGCTGGGATTACAGGTGTGAGCCACCACGCCCGGCACTGATTTGGTTTTGTGTGAAGTGTGATTTGCTTAATGTGACCTGCTCTTCTGAATTTGTTTACAGGAGATCGAAAAGATCACGATGAAGAACAGAAAGGCCGAGACAGCAAAAATAAACTTCTTATGAGTCAAGTGGCCTACTACCTGGGCTGCCGGCTGAAGATGGAAGGTAAGTTCTCTAGGTTCACTGTCACAGTGCTGAACAATGTTCTGTCTTCTTTCTAAGAAATGATACACTCTTTTCTTCAAAGTTAATTTCATCCTTCCCATACTTCTAGTAAAATAGCAATGAGTATTTTAACATTTTGTTAAAGATGGAAGACAGAGGCCAAAGCATTTAGCAACTTTTCCACGTCTGCAGTAAGGTGGGTGTGGGACTAGTATTAATATCCCAGCTATTGATTCCCGACACAGGCACAGAACCACCTGTTTTTTTCAGCAAGAAGCTAAATCATGTTTACAGGAATCCTCTCTAGCATATTAGATCCTGCAAAACGTAGAAGCAGGATAAAGGTAGAAGTGTTTATGTCCTGGCTTCAAGGTGACTGAGTAGCTAAGACAAGTTGACTTTAAGGAGATCAAGAGTGGAGATGAGAAGAGTAAAAGCGGGGAAACGTCTTCAAATCAATAGGCAGTGCTGTCAGTGACATCCCTCTGTTCCGATTAAACCAATTGGAAGTCACCAGTTCTTTTTTTTTTTTTTTTTTTTTTTTTTGCTGGGGGGAGGAAGGCAGGAAGGAAGGAATGAAGGAAGGAAGGAAGGGAAGGAAGGAAATCAAGCAGTGAGAGAGACATTGCCGACCTGGATCTAGAGGTTTACAAGTTGATTTTTTTTTTTTTTTTTTGAGAGAAGGAAAGAAAAAATAAGTAAAGGAGATGAAGAAAGAGGAAGAAAAAGAGGGAGAGTAAATGGAAATATTGCTTTATTTTGAAAAAAATTGGGTATTAATAATGGCCAATCAATGTTTCATTTAAACTTATGGGTAGGTGTGATGTGGTATTGACAAGAATGTATATTTTTTGTATTTGAAGTGGAGCGCTCTATAAATATTTACTAAGTTTACTTGTTCCGGATCTGAGTTCGAGTCCTTGATATCCTTATTAATTTTCTGTCTCATTGAATCTAAGTCTCGTATCTGGGTTAGGATCGTTAGCTCTTATTGTTGCATTGATCCTTTTATCACTATATCTTTGTTGCTTTAAAATCTATTTTATCCGATACGAGAATTGCAACTCCTGCTTCTTGTTTATTTATTATTTATTTTTGCTCTCCATTTCGTTGGTAAATCTTTCTCCATCCCTTTGTTTTGAGTCTTTGTGTATCCTTGCATGTGAAACTGGTCTGGATGTAACATGCCATTGGGTTTTGGCTGTGTCTTTTGATTGGGGGATTTAGTCAATTTAAATTTAGGGTTACTGCCATTTGATGTTGACTGGCTGTTTTATCCATTCGTTGATGTAAATTCTTCTTTATGTTGGTGCTCTTTACTTTTTGGTGTATTTTTAGAAAGGCTAATACTGGTTGTTTCTTTCTGTGTGTAATGCTTCTTTCAGAAGCTCTTGTAAAGCAGGCCTGGTGGTAATAAAATCTCTGAGTTCTTCCTTGTTCATAAAAGATTTTATTTTTCCTTCAGTTGTGAAGCTTAGTTTGGCTGGATATGAAATTCTGGGCTGAAGGTTCTGTTCTTTGAGAATGTTGAATATTGGCCCCCACTCTCTTCTGACTTGTAGAGTTTCTGCTGAGAGATCTGCTGTAAGTCTGATAAGCTTGACTTTGTGGGTAACATAACCATTCTCTCTGGCTGCCCTTAGTATTTTCTCCTTTGTTTCAACCCTGGTGAATCTAACGATTATGTGCCTTGGGGTTGCTCTTCTTGAGGAATATCTTTGTGGTGTTCTCTGTATTACCTGGGGTTGAATGTTGACCTGCTTTGCTAGTTTAGGAAAATTTTCCTGAATAATATCCTGAAGGGTATTTTCCAGCTTGGATTCATTCTCTCCGTCGCATTCAGGTACACCTATCAAACATAAATTTGGTCTTTTCACATAGTCCCACATTTCTTGGAGACTTTGCTCATTCCTTTTTATCCTTTTTTCTCTAATCTTTTCTTCACGTTTTATTTCATTAAGTTGGACTTTGACCTCTGATATCTCTTCTGCTTGAACAATTCGAGTGTTTAAATCTGTGCATACTTCTCGGAGTTCCTGTATTGTATTCTTCAGTTCCATTAATTCATTCATACTCCTCTCTAAGTTGTCTATTCTCAATAGGATTTCATCAAACCTTTTTTCAAAGTTCCTAGTTTCTTTACATTGGGCTACATGTTCTTTTAACTCACCGAAGTTTGTTATTATCCATTCCTTGAAGAGTGATTCTGTCATCAGGATGCGCTCGTTCTCCATCAAGCCTTGTTCCATTGTTAATGTGGAACTGTGATCATCTTTAGAGGGAGAGGCGTTCTGACTGAGTATTCTCAGCCTTTTTACACTGGTTTCTTCCCATCATTGTAAATTTATCCTCCTGTCGTCTTTGAAATTACCAACTTTTAGATTAGGTCTCTTGAGTGGACGTCCAGGTTGTTAGTTCCCAGGGCCAGAGCAGCGGCGTTAAAACTAATGGTGCTTTTCTGCCCAGGATTCTCCTGTCTGGCTTCCTTCTTGTGTCTGTAGTAGGCAACTCTGCCTTCCTGGGGCTCCAAACCTTGGTCAGAAGGGGAACCGGTCCCGTTTACTCTGCGCCGAGCGCTGCCACGCCGAGATGCCGTCACAGCCGCTGCGCCGGGCTCTGGTGTCATGCTGGGGGCCCGTGCGGGTCCTCCGAACCTGTTTACTCTGCTCCGAGAGCTGCCGCACTGAGGTGCCGGGGGAACCGCTGCGCCGGCCACGAGGGTTGCGCTGGCCACCCGTGTGTTTCCTCCACTGGGGGATCTTCTGCTCCGTGAGCGACCAGAATTTGTCTGAAAGTGTGGCCTCCTCTAGTTCTCCACGCCTTCCCTGAGAGCTGCAATCTCGGGATGTTAGCGATCGGCCATCTTGGATCGTTCGGAAGTCACCAGTTTCTAACGCATCGTGTGTTTGGGTTTCTTCTCCCCAGTCCCTGGCTTTCTGTGTTCTGCCCGAAACATCAGCAAGGTGGCATCTGGCAGGCCTCCTTCCAGAAGAAACACTGAGTTTAACATTCCAGAAGGCATTGAGAAATCCTGGTCCCAGCAGGAAGATAACAAACCGAATATCAGAGGCAGCAAAAATAGACTTCTTATGAGTCACTACTCCCTGAACTATCGGCCGAAGATAAACAGTAAGTTCTATAGGTTGACCACCATGAAAGTTATGAATGATGTCCTGTCTTGTCTTGAGAAACTAACCACTCTCTTCATCAAAATTAATTTCATCCTTCCCATTTTTGTAGAAAATAGCAATGGGTATTTTTAACATTTAGTTAAAATGGAAGACAGACGCCAAAATATTTAGCAACATTTCCACATCTGCAGTAAGGTGGGTGTGGGACTGTGGGACTGGGGTTACAATCACAGCTATTGATTCCTGACTCAGGCACAGAACCACCTGTTTTTTCAGCAAGAGGCTAAATCCATGTTTACAGGAATCCTCTCTGCACCATGTAAGATTTTACAGACAAGTAGCATCTAGTCTGCTGGTCTAAATGTCTGAGGCTACTGAACTTCCGTGCAGTTCCGGTTTCTGATAAAGGTCCAGTAGGCAAAGCTGTGTTCTGCGTACCCTGGGGGAAACACGGTGATAGCAGACAGTACCCACTGTGAGGAGCTTAAAGGGGACCCTGCGTCTAATAGAACCTATGCTATCTGTAAGTGGCACCATCAAGAGCAGGGAGTACCGAGGTATTGGTGCCTCAGCCAGCCAATTAGCTGGGATTCCCGGGGGGCACCACCACATCTTGCCAATTTTTGTGTTTTATGTAGAGGCAAGGTTTCACCACGTTGGCCAGGCTGGTCTTGAACTCCTGAGGTCAGGTGATCTGCATGCCTGGGCCTCCTAAGTTGCTTGGATTCCAGGTATGAGCTACAATGCTGGCTCCACAGATTCTTTTTCAGTAAAGGTTATTAAATTCATTCGTTGGTCTGGTCTCCTATAAAAATTTCTCTAACCATTCATTGACCATGATATATGATGAGATGATTAGTATTGCAGCAACCCTTCTGGAAAGTAATTATGGCAATTTTTGAAGGTTTTGAGGGAAAAAGTTTTAATTATTTGCACTGACTTAGATCAGAGGACACTTGATTAATATCTACCAGATGAGAGAGGTTTTGTCCCGTTGGTCTGCAAAGCAGGCTCATCTACTTCTCAGGTGACTTAATCTAGGGCCCGATAGAACATTCCAGTCAGAATATCACATTTATACACTGAGAATATTTTATGTCCTTGTGCTGTGACTGGACACTGATTTGGTCTTGTGTGAAGTGTGATGCGTTCAATGTGAGCTGCTCTTCTGAATTTGTTTACAGAAGATCGACAAGATTGTGAAATACAGAAATACAGAGAAAGCAAAAATAAAGTTTTTGTGAGGCAAGCGGCCTACTACCTGCGCTGCCGGCTGAAGACCAAAGGTAAGTAAGTTCTATAGGTTCACCATCATCATGAAAGTGCTGAACGATCTTCTGTCTTTTCTGTGAGAAACTGAACACTCTTCTTCAGAATTTATTGAATTTTTCCCATACTTCTAGGCAAATATAAATGGGTAGCTTTGCATTTTGTTAAAAATGGATCTGTCGGTTCAGTCTGCTCTGTAAATTTCTCTAACCATTTGCTGACCATCACATATGATGAGATAAATCAGTATTGCTGCAATGTTGTCCCGCAGTCAAGTAGCCTCTAGTCTGTTGTTCTAAATGTCTGAGGCTGCTGAACTTCCATTCGGTTCTGGTTTCTGCTGAGGCCCAGTAGGCAAAGCAGTGTTCTGGGGACACTGGGGTAAACACGGTGATAACACACAGTACCCGCTGTGGGGAACTTAAAGAGGACTCTGCTCCTTACACAACCTGTGGTATCGGTAAGTGGCACCATCAAGAGCAGGGAGTACCCTTGTATTCGTGACTCAGCCTGTTAGTTAGCTGGGATCCCCAGTGGACACCATCACACGGCTAGTTTTTGTATTTTTAGTAGAGGTGGGGTTTCACCATGTTGGCCAGGCTGGTCTTGACTTCCTGAGGTCAAGTGAACTCCCTTCCTGGGCCTCCTAAATTGCTCCAAATCCAGGCATGAGTCACTGTGCTGTCTCCACAGATTCTTTTTTATGTAAAGCTTGTTAGAATTCATCGGTCGGTCCATTCTCCTCTATAAATTTCTCTAACCATTTGTTGGCCATCATATATGACAAGATAAATCAGTATTACTGCAGTGCTTCTGGAAAGTAGTTAGGGCAATTTTTGAAGATTTTGGGGACGAAGTTTTAATTGTTTGTGCTGACTTAGGTGAGAGGATAGGTGATTAAGATCTAGCAGATAAGGGAGATTTTGTCCCATGGATCTGAAAAGCAGGCTCATCTACTTCTAGGGTGACCTAATCTAGGGACCAGTAGAACATTCCCTTCAGAATATCACATTCTGAAACGGAGAATATTTTTCATCCTTGTTCTATGACGAAACACTGATTTGGTCTTGTGTGAAGTGCAATTTGCTTAATGTGACCTGCTCTTCTGAATTTGTTTACAGAAGATCGGAGACGTCACGAGGAGGAACAGAAATACAGAGACAGCAAAAATAAACTTCTTATGAGTCAAGACTACCCGGGCTGCAGGCTGAAGATGGAGAGTAAGTTTCATAGGTTAACCGTCACCAAAGTGCTGAACGATGTTCTATGTTTCCTCTGAGAAACTAAAGGCTCTCTTCATCAGAATTAATTTCATTTTTACCATACATCTAGGAAAATATAAATGGATATTTTAACATTTTGTTAAAAGTGGACGAGAGAGGCCAAAGTTATGTAGCAACTTTTCCACATCTGCAGTAAGGCGGGTGTGGGACTGAGGGTAAAGTCTCAGCTGTTGATTTCTGACACAGGCACAGAACCACCCGTTTTTCTCAGGAAGAGGCTAAATCATGTTCACAGGAATCCTCTCTGTACCACCTAAGATCCCGCAGACAAGTAGCATCTAGTCTGTTGTTCTAAATGTCTGAGGCTGCTGAACTTCATTCGGTTCCGGTTTCTGCTGAGGCTCAGTAGGGAAAGCTGTGTTCTGGGGTACATGCGATGGTAGCACACTATACCTGCTACAGGGAGCTTAAAGAGGACTCTGCTCCTTACATACCCTATGGTATCTGTAAGTGGCATCATCAAGAGCAGAGATTACTCTGGTTAGAGGGACGTCCTGCTTTCTTTGCAGAGGCTCTCGTTGGTAAAGAGAAAGAACAACAGCACCCACGACTCTGTGAAGGCAGCAGTGCATAGAGGAGGGACCCTGGGCCAGTCTCCTGAGCTCCATCCAAGTTGCTTCTTTTGTTTGTTACTCAGTTTTGTCATCTGTTCGTAGGATACTATAATAATGCCTACCTCTGTCAATTGCTGCACTGAATTAGATGGCCTATTTATTGTAACTCTCCCGGGACAGTTGTTGGCACAGAGTAAACACTGTTTATTAGTTTCTTTTTTTTTGAGTTGGAGTTTCGCTGTTGTTTCCCAGACTGGAGTGCAATGGCATGATCTCGGCTCACCGCGACCTCCGCCTTCTTCAAGAGCAGGGAGTACCCTTGTATTCGTGACTCAGCCTGTTAGTTAGCTGGGATCCCCAGTTGACACCATCACACTTGGCTAGTTTTTGTATTTTTAGTAGAGGTGGGTTTTCACCATGTTGGCCAGGCTGGTCTTCCTGAGGTCAAGTGACCTCCCTTCCTGGGCCTCCTAAATTGCTCCAATTCCAGGCATGAGTCACTGTGCTCAAGCAATTCTCCTGCCTCAGACTCCCGAGTAGCTGGGACTACAGGTGTGCACAGCACCATGCCCAACTAATTTTTTGTATTTTTAGTAGAGATGGGGTTTCACCTTGTTGACCAGGATAGTCTCGATCTCTTGACCTCGTGATCCACCCGCCTCGGCCTCCCGAAGTGCTGGGATTATAGGCATGAGCCAACACGCCCGGCCAACACTGTCTGTTAGTTCTTCATTCTACTGTGTCTAGCATAAGGGAAACTTTATTAGTCTTGGTGCATATTTCTTTTATGGCCTTAGGAGAGGCTCCAGACCTCCATAATTCCGCAGTGACGGTTTTATCAGTGGTGTTTTCTTCCACAAAACATATGTGGCCATGACATTACTAGGACTTTCTGAATGAGAACACAGATGGGAAACCCATGAAGTTGGAGGTCACCGTATTGCAAATGTCCCTCCTTCCGTGATGGATTGTGGTCTTTGGAACAGGAGGCAGCATCTGTCCAGTTGTAAAGGACAGGAAGGAAGCGGTGGCAGGAGGGCAGTTGTTGGAGTGGAAAGAGCTCTGGACTAAGAATGAAGGTCCCAGGCTGTATCTTCAGCAGTGTTCTTAGGAACTGTCAGGGAGCAATTGATTTCTTCTTTCTGACTTTCTCTGCCTCCATCTGCAAAGGCAGGTAAATTTCTCTCTCTCCATCTGCAAAGGCAAACATCTTGCAGTGTCTGAAGCATTCAAATATGTGAGCACTTATGACCACTTATCACAATGAGATAAAGCCCCTTGCTGTGTGGTGTTGGAGAAAGCACTTGATGTGTGGGCATTTGGTGGTAGGAAGTGGTTCAGATTGGAGCATTCCCCATGGCGAGAATGTCCCTGAATAACATAGCAGAAGCCACTTGGAGGGCCTGTGAAGTCACCTGATGTGCAGAGGATTGTGGGACAAGTTTGTTTATCCTCTCCTAAGAGAAAGAAATAGGTTGTAAATATGAACTGTGATGGTACGCCAAGCTTGTCCCTGGGAATCAGATCTGTGTCAGGATGGCGGAGACAGCTGCCAAAGTCCAGAGAGGCTGCACAAGCCTCCAGTGATGTGGGAGCAGAAGGTCTTTTCAACATTTGACCTCATCATGACGGTGAGCCTCCTGATCCGAAATGCATTGCCTAGTGGATCAGGAAACCATGCCAGGGCATTTTGTTAAAGAGAAAACATGAGAGCTTTCAGTAGAACAGGGACCCATTCACAGATGTTCATGTCCCTGCGCACATTGGGCTGACTGTCCCTGCAGAGTGTGAAATGGGAAATATCTGAACAAACACATCTGTACTTGCAGAAAACGACAAAGATGAGGATGAAGATGTTCATGTTATGGAGGCTGAGAAAATCCAGGAATCACGTGCCACCAGGTAACACTGAAGAAGCAGGAGCAAGTAATGGGTGGTAAAGTATGGAAAAGGTCTAGAAGCCCACCCTCTCTGGCATCTCCCATGGGCCAAAAGCCTGCATTCCCTTGGCCACAGTATTTCCAATTCAACCCAACTTAGACACAGGGTGTGGCAGTTGTTGTGGTTCTTTGTATGTGCTGAGTGCCGTGTCTGAATTATACAGGGAGAACTGAGTCTTTTTTCTTCTCGGCTCCTTTCTGCCCAGTGTAAGAAATACCAGCTGCTGTCTTTCTCTCTGGTTCCCATGGCAGCCATGCTGTGTTGCAGAGAGGACATTGTTGTGGGTGATTTGTGGCACGTGTGTAGATTTTAATTTCTGACTCCTCCCAAGATGGGAACCTGCAATCAGATGAGCCAGGTGAACTCAGCAAACAGGGATTTCCTGGTTTCACCTGTTCTCCCCACTGTGTTTAAACCCGGGGAGAGACACATATATGCTTTCTGCCCATTTGTTGTGAGTGTGTTTGCTAGGATTTGTGAAGAGAAGAAATTCACAACATAGACATATCAAAATACTGGAAAAAGGAGGCCTTTAATACACCACATCTGGGTGTCTGAAGTACCTCAAGAGCTCTGTCCACTTGAATGCCGCATGTAAAATTCAACACAACTTCTGCGTGGCGGTTGAAGCCCCATGTTAGTTCTCGTGCTGCAAGTCGTGATGAGAGTTTACAGGGAGAGTCTGTGTGGCCTGCAGTGGCTCATCTGTGGCACATGCACTGAGCACATGCTGCTCATTTGTGCTCTCACAATCCAGTGCAGTCACCCTCCACCCTGCATTTAGAAGCAATATTTTTTTCTCTTGAAGGAAAAATGCCTTTGCTTTCTGTGACCACTCCATTCTGACTTCCATCAGATCAGCTGGGAGACTTTATTGTCTAATCTGTGTTGGTTTAATCTTCTGTCATCCCTGTCCTGCCTGGCTCATCAGGAATCTGCAGGAGTCTGTGGAGGAGGAAGCCCCCCAGGAGTCCTGGGATGAAGATGATTCGACTCTCTCAATTCCTCCTGGCACATTTGCCTTCAATGAGCCTTACAGGACCAACCTGCACTCAGAGGAACAGCAGGTCAACTTGGCTCATGACACAGACAGTGAGTACTCTGTTGTGAAAGTGGTAAAGCTCCACTTTGTGTCCCAGATAGACCCCATAGTCTTTGTGCATTGTTCCCCTGGCCGCGCTGAGAGTTGTCATCACTGTGGGCTGAGCCTATCCATCAGTGCAGATTTCAATCACTCCGGATTCCAGTCTGAAGCACGGGCATGGGGTGGGTCAGTGAGCTTTGCTCTCTCTCTAGTCTCAGTCCATGCCCGTGGCACCCTGGACCAACTGTCAGGACATCGAAACCCAAGGCGGGTGTTGCAAACTCACACAAAGCTATGCAGCACATGCCCACGGGTTGTCTGTCAATCTGAATTAAATGTCTCTTGCCAGCTACCAAGTTCCTCATGAGTTTTGTTCCCCAGGCATGTCTGTGAGGTTCTTTCCTGTTTGTGCAAACTTGGGATAAAGGGATAATGGTCTACCAGAATAGGGATGTTTCACCATTGGTTCTGAGACACAAACCAAGGAATCTCTATCATGATTGGCCTTGAGACCTCCTGAAGTCTCTCTCTCACGTTATCCTGTTCTCAAGCTGAGGAGTCTGAGGTCCCTGTGCAGGGATTAGACAGTGGACTGTTATGGGTGTAGGGCAATGGCTAACTTTGTCTGTCCCTATCTGAATTTATTGCAGAGATTAAAAAGGACCAAGAAGAGGAAGAAGACCAAGGCCCACTGTGCCCCAGGTAACTTTGAGCAACTGTGAACAGCTAATTTTGTGTTGACACCTGGAGACGCCAGGTCCAGGGAAAACAGAGTGGGCTGACAATATCGATACCATCTTTTCAATGAAGCCTGAAGTATTCCTCCAAACGTCGCTGTTGGTTTTTATTGCAGTAGATACTTAGGCTTCTGTTTCTTCCTCCCCTTACCATTTACTAACTGCTGTAGGTTGACCATACTTGTTTTTATGATCAGTGTACGCTGTGTGTCCTGAGGGTACTAACTCAGAGTGTCCTTTTACTCCCTCATCAGTGTGTCACCTGGACGGTTCACTGAGCTTACTTTCTCTTCCTCCCTCCCTCTCTCTCTCTCTCTCTCTTTCTCTTTCCTTCTTTTCTACCCTACTCTTGTCCATCCGAGCATAAAGCAATAGTTTGTTACGTCATTAGTGGATCTATGTTTTTTCTTTATCAACCACTTTCTTGTGCTACCCATGAAATCTAGTTGGGGCTCTGTGGTGTCTTATTTTCCCTGACTTATTCTTTGGTTTTTCCTTCTTTTTTAGGCTCAGCATGGAGCTGGTGGAAGCAGAAGAGCCTGAAGTCTTCTGGTACTCACTGGATATATTGTATTCAACATACACCGCTTATCTTGAGTTTTATTACACATGCCAGGCTTACACATACGCCGTTTTTTTATATGCAGAAGAGCATGTTCGCTTGACTTTGGACATGGACAGTAGGTTTTTTACTCTGACGGTGATAGGACTCCACCTGGTCTCCCGGGTAGGGGTCATATTCCCACACTAAGACGTGTCACACGGGACTCTGCCGGTGCAGAGTGTGAGCAACACCATGTTCTCGCTGAAAACGCTTAGGCTGAGTTTGATAGCCTGAGGTAATCTCCAGACAACTTCACAATGTAGAACAGTGAGCGGCACAACTGACCTGTCTCCTTCAGACAGCCCATGTCACCACAAATCACACAACTAAAAGGAGAGGAGACATTTTTGGTTGAAAAAGAGTAAAAAGATAATGTAGCTCATTTCTTTAGCTCTTTTGAACCCAAGGTGTCTCCTCAAGTTTTTGTTGTCATTGATGGTGGGGACATGGGCTTGTTTGTAGAGGACAGGTCAACTGTCTGGCTCAATGGTCTATACTCTGAAGTTTTCTGAAAATGTCCTCATGCTGAAATTCAGCCTAAATGTTTTTTCCGGGAACACTGCAGGGTCAATGCTACCTCACCCATCTGCAGGTAGAGAAGGTCCCGTGTGTCTACCACCATGATCGTGATACCAGGACTTTTCCACCATTTGTCTATCACCATGATCATGACGCCAGATCTGTACCTTTCAGAGACACCTTATTTATATGGATATATATATTTATTCAGACACCTTATTTATACGGATATATATATTTATTCAGAGACACCTTATTTATACCGATATATAAATATATTTATATGGAAGTAATTGGAAAAATGGTTTTCAAAAGTATTAATATCCTGTATTGAAACGATCATCTCTCAACATTTTATTATTCGTTAATCATCCCTGGCTGTGTCAATTATTGTATTTACATCTCTACACTGGAAATTTTCTATTTTTACTGTATCTTTGCTTTTGCTAGTTTCTGTTGTTGAACCAAAAAAATTCCCTGCCTGCATTTCAATTTTTGCCAAAGTTAATTTTAATCTATACAATGAAAACTTTTTTCCTTAAGATAAGACTGTCAGCACCTAAGGCCACAGCAAAACAGAGCCTTTGTTTGCTAATTTTTAAGCCTTTGTTAATTTCTGGCTGAGGAGAGAGGTAGTTTATTTTATTAGCTGCTAATACCTATTTAAGTGAGCAGCCAGAGACTTGTCTATCAGACTAAGGATATGCAAAGCTTACGCCATTCTCTTTGAGTCTTTTAAACTATTTCAGAAGAGAAGGGAATAGGCAAATTCCACATATGTGGACAGGAAGGAGAATACACTAAAAGACACAAACAACGGTTTCCCAAACAGAATAGAAAATCCATTAAAATGCATGAAATATTTTCTCATGAAATGTAATCTCTCTAAACTTAGCCATTATATGAAAGTCAATTCTTAATATGCCACACTGCATTGACTGTTGACGTTCATAAGAATTCATTTCCATGTTTGTTATTTGAAAAAGCAAAAGGACTCTAATCCTTTCTTTTCTTTGCCATGATCTTTTTAAGATTGAGGATTTTTTTCCAAAATAAAATTAAAGATTTTAAAGATTGAAAATTGACATTAAAATTTATCTTCTCAAAGCAATGATGTGTAACTCAGGCTGTCTTATTCCTGCTTTTATAGTATAAGTGTCAGGTGCTCATTTAACCATTCTTTAAATTTTTCAAATTACTGGGAACAAACCACTTTCCAGGGTGGTTTGTTTCTTTTGTTTCCTTTTTTTTTTTTATTTTACTTTAAGTGCTGGGTTACATGTACAGATCTTGCAGGATTGTTACACAGGTATAAGCATGCCATTTTTGTTTGCTGCCTCCCCCCTGCCCTGTGTCACCTACATTAGGTATTTCTCCTAATGCTATCCCTCCCCAATCTCCCCACCCCCTGCTATCCCTCCTCTAGCTCCCCTACCGCCTGACAGGCCCCAGTGTGTGATGTTCCCCTCCCTGTGTCTGTGTGTTCTCATTGTTCAATGAGTGAGAACCTGCAATGTTTGCTTTTCTGTTCCTGTGTCAGTGTACTGAGAATGACGGTTTCCAGTTTCATCCATGTCCCTTTAAAGGACATGAACTCATCATTTTTTGATGGCTGCATAGTATTCCATGCGTATATGTGCCACATTTTCTTTATCCAGTGTATTTTTGGTGGACATTTGGTTTGGTTCCAAGTCTTTGCTATTGTAAGCAGTGCTGCAGCAAACATAGGTGTGCACGTGTCTTTATAATACAATGTTTTGGCCAGGCGCGGTGGGTCAAGCCTGTAATCCCAGCACTTTGGGAGGCCGAGGCAGGTGGATCACGAGGTCAACAGATCGAGACAATCCTGGTCAGCATGGTGAAACCCCATCTCTACTAAAAATACAAAAAATTAGCTGGGCATGGTGGAGCGTGCCTGTAATCCCAGCTACTCAGGAGGCTGAGGCAGGAGAATTGCCTGAACCCAGGAGGCGGAGGTTGCGGTGAGCTGAGATCGCGCCATTGCACTCCAGCCTGGGTAACGAGCGAAACTCTGTCTCATATATATATATATACGTGATACAATGTTTTATGATTATGTGGGTATGTACCCAATCATGGGATTGCTGGGTCAAGTGGTATTTCTGTTTCTAGATCCTTGAGGCGTCGCCACACTGTCTTCCACAATTTGCCTGAATATTACATCTTTCTCTAGGTTTAGAAAGTTTTCTGTTATTCTTTCTTTGAAGAAGCTTTCTACTCTGTGCTCCTTCTCAACCCCCTATTTAAGGCCAGTGAATCTTCGATTTTCTCTTCTGAAGCCCTATTCTATATCTCTTAAGCATTCTGTGTTCCTTCTCATTATTATTTTCTTTTTTCTCCTCTGACTGTATTTGAAATAGCTTGTTTTAATGCTCACTAATTCTTCTGCTTAATCAATTCTCCTGAGACTCACTAAGGCATTTTCCAGCTCCAGGATTTGTTTGCTATTTTCTATTATGTCAGTATCCTTGTTAAATTTTTCTGATATAAGTTTGAATTGTTTCTGTTTTCTTGAAGTTCATCGAGCTTTCTCAAAATAGTTACTCTAAGTTTCCTGAGAAGTTGCATGTCTCCATCACCCCAGGGTTGGTCAGTGGCGGCTCATCTGGTCTATTTGCTGGGTCATATTGACTTCAGTGTTCTTGATACTGTTGACATTTGTCAATATCTGGGCATTGAAGGATAAGGTATTTATTCCAGCCTTTGCAGTCAGGTCTTGTTTGTACCTGTCCTTCAGAGCGCCTTCCAGGGATTCAAAGTGGACTGACCAGTTCCCTATGCCAGTGGTCACTACAGCCATTTTTGTCCTAGAGGGCACCTAGGCCCAGGTACACTGCAGTTTTTACAGATGCCCAGGTCCCCAGCCCTCTTGGACTTGGGGGAAGATCAGTGATTGTTCTCTGGGTTCCCAGGTAAAGCCTCTGGCTTACTTTCCTTTATTTTCCTTATGCAAAAGGAATCTCTCTGTAGGCTACACTGCCTGGAGTATGGGGAGGGGTGATGCATCATTCCCATAGCTGCTGCAGCTGCTGCTGTCATACTGGCTGTGACCTCAAGTCTGGTGTCTTCCAGACCTAAGCAACATCAGGGTTTGCCCAAGGAGTGCTGTGGTCACTGCAGCCTGCCTGCCCCTGACATTTATTTGAAGCCCAATTAATTTCCAGTGATAAAGCTGAGCAGAACTTTGGTGGGCTCTTCCTCCTGGGGCAGCTGATTCCCTTTGGCCCAGGGTGAGTTTAGCTTTTGTGGACATCAGCCTGGAATGAAGCACTATTGGGTTCTGTTCAGGGATGTGTTTCACTATGGCCAGACTGATACTGAGTTTGAATATAAAGTCTCACACTTTCCTCCTTGTCTCCAAAAGAACTTTTCCCAAAAAGTTTTTATGTCAATGTTGATGGAATGACATACTCTTTGACTCAAGGGTCTTAAATGGATTTTTAGTTTTGATGCAGTGTGACAGAACACTGTTTTTAAAGTGTGATCTACAGCCCTCATGCACTAAAATCACCTGTGGTGCTTATATTATCAAAAGGCAGACTCTAGGGCCCACACCAACTACATCTCCTTGGGTTGGAGACCAGTATGTAGCTCCTATAGTCTCCACCGCTGTTTCTAAGGTACACCAAGTTCAAGAACCATTCTTTCATATTTTCAGAATAGGGATTCCCACAAAATGACAAAGCGGAAAAACCTTAACCTTTTAAATTAGAGTTCAAGCATTAGACTGCACTTCTTAAACACAGTTTATCTTTTTCATTTTCTCTTTCTAGTTCTGTGTACTGTCAAGGCATTGGTGCAGAAATAGGAAACCAAGCAGTGAAAGAAAAACTATGTATTTGTTTATATCTGTTTTGCTTTAATAATCACCAAAAAGACCCATTGTCTCTCTCCCACCCTGTCCACCAGTTATATTGGCCTTCAACACATGGCAATAACAACATATATACATCTATATTATGCATTTATACACACAGACATGCTGTATCAGCACTGTGAAGACACGGACTGGGCTTTACTATCTCTGGGGGCCTCTCCCATGCCACTTAAAAATGGGCACAGGTTTGCTCTGTGCAAGAATTTCAGCAGAATTGGTCTTGCTATCAGTCCTGTTTCCCCAAGGTAAGATAGGATGACAAAATGGGACAGTGTATATGAAGTGAGGTCAGTCCAATTTGGATATCATAGAAGAAAAGAAATAGGATGTGCTAGCTGAAGCCTGAGATGGTATCTGGGGAGTCACCACATTTGTGATGTGAACTCAAAACAGACGCTGCAGTGCAGACCAAAGCCCAGCCCGACTCCACCCAATAGGATCAGGTGTGGATCTGTGAGTAGCGTTCACTGAGTCCCCACCAGTACTGTCCAGCAGGGCACCGCTGCTCAGTATTGTGCTTTTAGAACCTGCCAGAGGAGCTCCAGCATTGGGACCGCATGCCTCATTCATCAGAATCAGGGTCTTCTATCCACTGAGTTTTCCATCTCAGGCAGCTGATGAGGCAACAAGTGTGCTGTTGTTAGTTCCCACGCTGCTGGGGCTGTTGAGAAGCAGTATCACAAAACCATCTATGCAAACTACACATTCTTTGCTTCATGCTGGGCCTAGTGGGCCTTGGCTAAGGTTATTCCATAGCTGTCAGAAAGGCTTTAGCCTTTCTTCCCGCTCCACCAGGACACGCCTCTGACTCCCTCTTCTGTACCCTCCAGTGGACTTGGAGGAACGAGACCCAGATGCTCCTCAGCAGATAGGTGGCCACACAAAAGGGGGACAGGCCCACCCTTCCTGCTGTTTTAAGGACCTCTGGTGACTGCGCTTCTTGCATGGTTCCTGGAAGGCAAGGATCACAAGGCTGGAGTGCGCTTCAGAGCCCTTAGGGATTTCACCTGCAGACAAAAATAAACCAAACCAGCGTATATTGCCAAGCCCTGCTGATGCTGCCTGAAGCTGGAGTGAGAGCGATGTGGTGACTAAAGCCAGGAGTATGGTGAGAGCCAGGTAAGAGGATGAGCTAAGAGCATGTGCTGCAGTCTGGAGGAACAGCAGGTGCCCCAGGTTGTGGGGAGCCTCCCCACCTCCCCGTGTGCTGAGATACCTGCTCCAATTCACTGCACTCTGGGTGGCTGGATCCTACCATTCACTCTTCAGGGACGAGGTGACTCTCCAGATCACTTTTTCTCTGCAGAAAAATGGCCTCTGCCATCTTCTCCCAGAAAGAAGTGCTCAGCAGGAAGCATGCATATACAGAAACAGCCTGTTGTAGGAAGAGGACATTTTGCAGGGAAGTCCTCTGTTAAGTTCATGTCCAGTTGACATAACAAGGACGTGAAGGGGCGAAGTCTATATGGACCTCAGAGCTCAACTATGTCCAGTTCCACCTTTGACAGATGAGGGTGCAGCAGACTCACAGAGACTAAGTGACAAGACAAACCATAAGCCAAACCAGTTAGTGACAAGCCAGGTATTAGATGTGAGGCCTCAGGTCCTTTCCAGTGATCTATGGGAGGCTGAGGGGAAAGCTTTCACACTGGAAAAAGCCAGTGGATACTAGAGATTTTGAGGTTACATTTTCTGGGACAGGAATAAGGAATTACAGAGGCAATCCTGTAAGTGTTGTTCTGAAGTGGCTCAGGAAAGAAAAGGAATCATTAGAGAAAAACAAAAGGGAATTATTGAAAAAAAGAACAAGTTAAATCATGGCTCGAGTCATTTTCACACTATGTAGATCGACATTCTCTCAGGCTCTGATTTAGAAACATTTCTAGAACATGCTCCATTGCTTATGGCAGAACTTTGAAGTTTTTATTTAAGTTTATATAGGAAGCACCGTAAATGTATGAATTGGGGAGTGGCCTGAGGGACTTTGACAGGGCTTTGATTTGGCAGGGCCTGGCCCCAAATATGGAGAAAGTGAAGGGTCCTTTTTTTGTCCTGTACCCCAGGAAAAGCTGAGGAGCTGCCCTGTTCAGCAGCGGAGTGCCCTGGATTGGAAGAACCTGGGGAGGGGGAGCTTTGGCTCTGGATTAGAGAGTCCTGGATGTCCTCCCATCCTGAGGGGACATGGAAAATGGGCAGCTGAGCCCAGGTCTGGA